GTTGGGAAAGACAGGAAAGGAGGAAAGGTGGCATTATTGATTAAAAGAACATTACAGTGCTGGAGAAAGAGGTAGTCAGAGGGATCAAGGACAGAACTGATTTGGCTACAGGTAAGAAACAAAAAATATGTGATTGCATTGTTTGCTGTATAGTACACCAACTCATGGGAAGGATGTAGAAGAGCAATTGCAGAAAATTACAGCGACATGCAAAAGTTTCAGTATAGTTATAATGGGGGCTTTAAGTATCCAAATAAAGACTGTGATAATAATAGTATAAAAATCAGAGAAGGGTAAGAGTTGTTGAGGAAAATTTACTGCAGCCCTATGTTTGTAGTCATAAGAAAGGTCATAAGAATGACATTCTTAGAAATGAGGTAGACCAAGCTGCTCAAGTGACAGTACAAAATAACTAGTGCTAGATCTTCAGGGCTGCACACTTTCAAACCAAAACACTTGCACAGGTGAGCCGTCAGGTCAAAACTGCACTGCCACAGTAAAAACAGAAGCTATTCCAGACAGCTATATTGCAGTTTCAGATGGAGCACTCTTCCTGTTCTATAAATGTTTACTGACGTACAAATTGAATAAATACTTTGCCAGACTGTCATATTATGATGTGACAGAGTTATGCAAGGCGAACATGCAGAACATAGCAATTCAGATCATTTTCTCTGAACAAAATATGTCACCATGGGAACCCATTATATGTCCTCATGGTACCTTGTATTTTTGAGTGATGCATAGAACAGTCTTTGTTCCAGTCCTATTTAGGCCATCTTCCTCACCTCTTTATCTAGTACATTGATGGCTGTATTGTTAGCTTTCCCTGTTTGCACTCCAAACTGGAACATTTAATCAACTTTACTTTCAATTCCCACCCTGCCCTTGGCTTCATGTGTTCCATCACCAACTCTTCCCTTCCTCAACTTCTCATCTGGGAATGGGCTGCTGACTGCAGTCTATTCAAAGCCCCTGACTCCCACACCTATTTGTTTAAATTTTAGTATCTGCAAAATAAACTGACACGTTGATCGTGAGATATAATACGACAACCCTCATCATCCTTGACCAACTATCACTTACCCTACAGCTTCCCTTCACCATTGCTCAGTCCCTGGCACAGTGGAACTGCTCCTATTATCCCTGACCTGCCAACTGTCTTCATTGACTCATCCTGTATCATCCTTGACATGTCCTGTATCATCCTTGAGTCTCAGAATCTCACTACTCACCTCTCTGAATAACTCTTGATCTCCCTGCAATCATGTTTGACCCACTCTCTGTAGAAATTAACTTTTTCTGTATATCCCATTTTCATCCCTTTTTCCTCTAGCAACATTTGTAAGGCTGCTACCTCCCTCATCGTCTCAGTCAGCCATACACCTTTTTCCTTCTGCAGCTATCATTCAATCTCATAACTTGAACACCTCCCACAATGAATCTCCCATGAAAGAAAGGCAACTCCAACTCAATGTAAGTCCACCAGGAAAATATCTTCACCTGCTGAATTTGAAGGCACATGTTTCTGCTTTGCTGTGTACTTTGTCCCAAAGGTCCAAATTATTCTGGTGAAGTTGTGTTTTAATGAAGGTACATGTCATGCTATTGAATTAGAAATATGTTCCCGCCAATTGACATCAGGAAACACAACCCACACTCAAGCCTTTGCCAATGAAATAACCAACTTTTGGCAGCAGACATTTTGCCCTCTGCTCCCCATCAATTTGATTTCCTGTGGTCAGGAGCTTCATGAGATTTTGCACATTCCCTGCTGTCCTGGTTTCCTTCCTTCTTTTAAGTTATATGTTCCAACTCTAGCTTACCAATCCCTTTCTGCAACTGGGCAGGCAGCTTGCATCTATCTTATTAGACTGTGATGGAGGCTCAGCAACTCCCTCAGTGGGCTTCTTCAGTTCCTAGTGATGCTATTAATGTATGCTACCTCAATGGGAATGGGGAAGGGCATCAGCTACAGAAATTCCCTTCTTTGTTTGGCATGAATTCTTCTAGAGGCAACATGACTACCACATCTACAGCTGAACATCTATTACCAATGTTGCAAATTCCAACTTCCCGATTAGCCAACAGGACTTTTGTGCAAAATGAAGACATTATTGCCAGTCTCTTTGTGTAGGAGAAACATTGAATTCAATTGACGTTTGTCACAATTTTTATGTTTTCAAGCCAAATGTTTGACTCCCAACACCCCATGCCTGGTCTGGAAGTAGACCTTGTTCCCTTGAGTAGGTTCATTAATGATTCTCCTACCAGTGGAAACATCTTCCCAACATCCACTCTGTCCAGACCATTCAGTATTCTGTAAGTTTCAATTAGACACCCCCCTCAGCCTTCTAAACTCCACCGAGTATAGACCCAGAGTTCTCAAATCTTCCTCGTATGTTAAGCTTTTCATTCCTGGGATCATTCTCATGAGCCTCCTCTGAACCTGCTCCAGGGCCAGTACATCTTTCCTGAGATATGGCGTCCAAAACTGCATGCAATACACCAAATGTGGCCTGACCAGAGCCTTGTTGAGCCTCAGAAGTACATCCCTGCTTTTATATTCAAGTCCTTTCAAAATAAATGCCAAAGTTGCATTTGCCTTCCTAACTAGTGACTCAACCTGCAAGTTTACCTTGAGAATCCTGGACTAGAACTCCCAAGTGTCTTTGCACTTCAGACTTCTGAATTTTCTCTCCATTCTTACCAAAGTGCATGACCTCACACTTTCCTATATTGTACTCCATCTGCCACTTCCTAACCTGCCCAAATCCTTCTGCAGCCTCTCCACTTCCTCAATACTACCTGTCCCTCTACCTATCTTTGTATTGTCTGCAAACATAGCCAGAATGCCCTCAGTTCCTTCATCTAGATCATTTCCTCCCACAGTCCAAAGATGTGCAGGCTAGGTGGATTGGTCATGCTAAATGCTTGTGGTGTTCAGGGATGTGTAGATTAGGTGGGTTACGAGGGATGGGTCTGGGTGGGATGCTCTGAGGGACAGTGTGGACTTGTTGGGCTGAAGGTCCTGTTTCCACACTGTAGGGATTGTATGATGATTCTATGATGATTTAAACTCAAACATTGGGGTCTGATAAGAAACCGTTTGCGGATGATACAAACTTGGTCATTTAATTGGTAGGGAGGAAGAGAGCCTTAGACTGCTGGAAGCTGTAAATGGTCTAATTAGTTCATGGAAAATAGAATTCAATCCAGAAAAGTGTGGGGTAAAACACTTTTGAGAGGCTAGATAAACAAATACACTATGTACAGAAGGATACTGAACAGTGAAGTAGAGGAAAGAGACACACAGTCATAGAGTCAAACTGCACAGAAACAGACCCTTTGGTCCAACTAGTCCGTGCCAACCATAATCCCAAACTAAACTAGTCCCACCTGTCTGCTCCTTTCCTATTCATGTACATATCCAAATGTTTTTTAAATGTTGTAACTTTGCCCACATTCACAACTTCCTCAGGAAATTCATTCCACACACCAATCACTATCTACGTAAAAATTTTGCCCCGCATGTCTCTTTTAAATCTCTCTGCTCTCACCTTAAAAACGTACCCCCCAAGTCTTGAAATTCCCATCCTAGGGAAAAGGCACCTAGAAGTAATCATGTCGAGACCTGTCATGATTTTAAACACTTCTAATAGGTCACCTCTCAACCTCCTATGCTCCAGTGAAAATAGTCCCAGCCTATCCAACCTTTCTTTATAACATCGTGGAATGGATGTGCAAAAGATCTTTAAACACAGCAGCTTGGGCAGGCAAAATGGTTAAGAAGGCAGACAAAATATTTTACATTATTAGCAGAGGCATAGAATGTAAGATCAGGAAAGTTGTACTGGAAATGTACACAGAACTAGTTAGACCGCAGCTTGAATACTGGCTGTAGTTCTGGTGACATCAGAAAGGAAAGATGTCATTGCAATGGAAAGGGTACAGAGATTTATGAGGATGTTGCCAGGACATGAAAGCTCTGAAAAAGACTGGAGAGGCTGGGGTTGTTGAACACCGCTCTTACATCTCTCCAACCTATCCATTGTAATGAAATCCTTTTCTGTATCCTCTCTAAAATTCTCCCAACCTTCCTAAAGTGGGCTGCCTAGAACTCAATGGGAATATTCCACGGCAGGGTCAACACGCCTTTTCAGACCTTGACAAAGTAAACTCCTCCCCAACATTCGCCTCAATGTAGGAAACACCGGAACATCTGGGGAGATGTTAGCAAGAAACACGACAAGTCTGAATCTCTCACAGGGTGTAAACTTCTCAAAATCTGCCTGTCACTTTCCACTCGGCGGATGGCTCCAATTTCATGAGGCCCAATAAACTGTATAACCGACTTCTTAATATTTCATAAGTTCTTAATCTTTGGTTTGGTTTTCACTGGTGTGGAATTTCACCTTCAACACCTGAAACGGCAAACAATGCAGCGAATATTCAGAGCAAAAGTGGGTCTTCAGAACTCGCCTGGTGGGTGGGATCCAGACCCATCGGCCCTTGACTTCGGTACTAGCCATGTTCAAAGAAAAAGGGCAGGGATGCAGGGCCGAAGTGGGATTGCCAATGAATTCACCAGCCACCCCACCCCGTTATTTTTAACAGTATTTCTTCATGTATTAGCATAGCGCCGATCGGAATTTGAGGCGTGTGCGTTAATAAATAATCGGGACGCTAAAAATAGCGCGGGAAATCAAAGTATCTTCTGAATGGTACACTGGCGGATGGTAATCTGTCATGCATTCGCCCCACTGCTCAGTTTAAGACGGGCTAGGTCTGAGCGACAAGAGGTGACTTTCTGCAGGGTCAGATCTGAATGCAGTGCACCCTAAGTGCAAACTCTTGTAAAACTTCCACGCAATCATTTTTTATTCACCAGGGAGACACGAAGATGGATTATAGACTCAGCAGCTCCGCAAGACGGCGTGAAGATATAACCAAGGACAACTCAAGTATTGAGGAATTGATTGGGGTGAACTAGCTAGAGCATGGATGAGTGGTTCACTGTTTTCCCTTTCTGCTTGAGGTTGCTGAGTGTTTTTTTGCTGTTTGGAATGCCTGCGGTTGCCGGCTGCTCCACCGAATGCATCTGCACCCAGTTCCTGACGAACTGCACAGGGAGTCAGCTCCAGCAGGTCCCTGCTGGGATCCCATTCAGTACCCAGCAGCTTATCCTGTCCGACAACAACATCTCCATCCTGCCCCCGCTCGCCCTCAACTACCTGGGCGGTCTGGTGTACCTGGACTTCAGGAACAACTCCCTCACCGAGATCTCGCACAGCTCCTTGCTCAACCTGAAGATCCTGGCGTACTTGGATCTCAGCCGCAACCAGCTGCGGAGGATCACCCACCTCAGCTTCAAGTCCCTAACCAGTATGGTGGTGCTGAAGGCGAGCCGCAACAGGGAGCTGACCTTCATTGACCACCGCGCGTTCTCCACAAACGAGAAACTGCAAGAGATTGACATAAGCGGCAATGGACTGACTTTTATTGATGCCAGCATGTTAGAGGCACTTCCACACTTGCGCTCCGTGCGGATGTCTGGGAATCCTTGGACCTGTAACTGCAACGCGCAGAATTTAAGCAACTGGATGAGAAAAAACAGAAGGATCATTCCAGGTAGATTTTCAATTTAAAATCTGTTATTGTCCGGTAAGAATCTATTCTAGTCTCAATCAGCTGCAAACTTTAGTAGAAGGACAAGTGACATTGGAAATCTGTGCTTATCAAACAAAAAAATCAACTTGGAAAGTTAGGGGGAGTGCGATAAATTCCAACCTGACTCCATACAGCATTTTCCACTCTTGGGTACCTATTTGTAACATACATTCCATGTCAGACTCACAACCCAAAGGGGAATCATTTCAAATTGAACATTTGCAGCAAGTGAAATAGAATTCAACTTTTCTCTATGTGTCGTGTCCCACTCTGAGACTCCTCAATGCAATTTCAATACCGTCGCCACTGAGAGTGGACAATGGCACATCGGGAATTGCTGGGACATTGTATAGACTCATTTCACTTACAGTCCATACCAGCAGAGTGGCGATCACACCAATCTCGTCGGACTTCAGAGTTAGTCTCTAACTTGTATTGTACAACCAAACTCCTGCCGTTGATTTCAGTCTAATTCTGTATCTGAAACAACACAGGGACCATTTGAGGATGATGGTGTTCTGGACAGTTGTGAATTAAGTTGCAGTGTAATGCAATGCTGTTGAAGTACATTGCTTGACCGAAAAATTCACAGGAGATATAACCTTCAACTAGAGACATTGTATGGAATACATGTTAAAATCAACTTCAATTACAGCGCTACTGGATCCAGATACAGAATTCCAGTGCATCAAATCAAACACTGTTACATCTGCACATCTTAATCATACTTTAAGTATAAAATCCTCAATTTCTGTGTATAGATATATCTGGCATGTAGGCAGTTTTAAAGGAAGATTTAGATGCTACACAACACAATTACTGACTTCAAATGCATCCAATCAGGAAAAGCAGAATCTGATCTTATTCCAGATACATTGAAAAAAAACCTCCAAATATTGAAGTCAGATCAATGTAACTTAGTGTGGGAGCCCACCATTCAGGCAGAAGTTCCAAAAATGTATGGTCAGTCCTTCACTGTCCTTCCCTGACAGTGAATTGTCAATCAGTTGTATAGTGATTATTGTATTAGATCAGAAACCCAAGAATACGAATGACTATAACTAGAAACTTGTGAAATTGGGTTGGATTCAATAAATCTCTCAATCATTTATCATGTTCAGTACTTGGATCAGGATGTATTTTAATTTTCAACATTGTTCTAATTAAATTGCAATAGGTTGTGAGGGCAAATGAAATATGAATTTAATAATACAATGTAACACATGAGCAAGTATAATTTTTAACAAGAATGAATTCTAATTTAATTTCATTCATGGGATGTGGGCATTGCTACCTGGGCCAACATTTATTGCCCATCCCTAACTGCCCTTGAGGAAGTGGTGTTGACCTGCCTTCTTGAATCACTGCAGCTCATTTGCAGTAGGTAGACTCACAATGCTAGTAGGAAAAGAGGTGCTCTGGTTGTTTCAATGTGTCTTAGATAGGTTCAGGCTTGGTTTTGCCTGATAGATTGTTTGATTGGATGGCATTGGGATTGTAACATTTACATGTTTCTTTACTTGCCAAATAAATATAAATATAGAAATTTAATGTTCTATACAATAAAATGTGGATTCGGATTTACCAATGTACCCAAGGATGTGTACTTGATTGAATTAATTTAAAACACTATTGATTGCTCTTTTCTTCACCTCACCAGATGCTGCTAATGTCACATGCACATTTCCAGATTCTTTACAAGGAGTCCTTGTCATGGAAGCTGCAGATAAACTTTACTCACTTTGCCAGAGAAAAAGGCAACTCAGATCAAGAGAAGTCCTATATTTTTGTCTTATTGGCCCAGGATTATTTTCCGCAAGCATTGTTCTCAATTTTACTTGCAGTTTACTGATGGCTCACTTCAAGAGATTCAAAAGGAAAGAGCTCAAGCGTTATTGGAAACTTCGCAGGGCCATCTCGTTTAAATATTCAAGGCGGCCGAATGTGATAACTCAGGAACACATTGCCAAAGCCAATACAAATATAAATGTTCATTTAGGAACAAAACACAATGGATGACTTTATATTTGAATGTTTGCTGCTATGAAAAGGTGATCCGTGTTGAATAGGAATTTGATTAACTGGCACAAAAGATCGCTCGATGAATATTGAAGTATTGCCTTAATATTAAAGCCATCAGCACTATTGGATTAAAATTAACCTTGTTAACTGGATTGCAATTAATCATTTCTGAACCTAATTTTCTACAGCATTCTGAATCTCAAAATACAGATCCATTTCCACATATTTATTTGCTACTGAATAATATACAGATGAATTAATGAGGTATTTGATTCACATTACATTTGCAGACACAAACGGCTTGTTCTGAAATCTTATTTTATTTCTAAAATGCTGGATGAATCCAAAGAATTATGGCTAAAAATCTTAGGAATTTTGTTTGTTACCTTGTGAATGACGTGAAGAATAGGGAGAAAATTTTAAGCATTGAAAGAATTAAAAATAATTTATGAACATATTGTCGACATGTGATATGGTTCAGTAAAGCTTTTTCTGTCTGTGCTTTATTGTTTTAACTTTGGCTCGGTTTGACTTTTAACAGGATGTTAAAACTGGAATCTCGAGGGATTAGTGCTCAATGGGACCACTCTACAGTTTGGCCTTTGAATCCTGTTCATTACAATGGAAAGAAAGTCCCCTTTCTCCTCTGGGCAACCAATGGAAGTTCCAGGGAATACAGAGTGGCAATATTGAGCTAAGCATGGTTTGAATACACATGAACATCTTTTGAATCAGAGTAGTTTAGAATATCTGGTTAGTATGGATGAAGTTGGACCAAAGGGTCTGTTTCTGTGCTGAGTGACTCTATGACTCTATGATTCCATGTTCCTTTAAGAGGAATTTGTTCTGTCCTGTTTTTCTTGAAAACAGGTGGTGAATACCTAGTGCCAAGGTGTCTGCTCCATGGAAAGCAAAATAAATAGCTTTGGGTTCTTAAAAAAAAAGACAAAAGAAGCATGAGTGGGTGGGGTCAGGTTCACACAGATCCAGGGTTTTAGCTTTTGCTTTCAGTTGTTGAAGTGGGGTTTTTGGAGTTGAAGCTGCTAGATACAGCTGTCTCTGCTGCAGTTGCAAAAGCTTGAGTTCTGTCTCTGCTGCTAAATTCATTTGATGTCAATGTTCTTTCTCCTGAACTGGAGGAGATAGCGAGTGAAGGAAATTTGTTTTGCGGAATTTGTATTTGCCAAGGTTGTGTTTATGGGATGCTGCTATATTGGAACAGTTGATGAGTAGTAGTTAAATAATATATTTTTTAAAGTATTACAAAAAAGTTAAAGCTGTGCCAACTTTTATTTTTTGTTTGTATTTTAACTGTGGTGTAAGAATAAAGTGTGTTTTGCTTAAATCCTAGTAGTTTGACCAATCAAATCACATCTGGAATGCAGCACCTTACACTTGCCTTTAAATAGATAAAAGCTAGGCTTTCTCCTTGACATATTTTGAGGGTTTCGGTCTGGTCTGTAACAGTATCTACCTTGTCAAGGCCCCTAAGAGTTTTCTAATTTTCGATAAGGTCACCTCTTGTTCTGCTAAACTCCAGGAGTATAGGCCCAACCTATTTAACCTCTCCTCATTAGATCCCATACCTGGGATCAAATGAATCTACCTTCTCTGAACTGCTTCCAATGCCAGTATATCTTTCCTCAGAAATGGGAATCAAAGCTGTTCATAGTACTCTAGGTGTGGTGTAACTGGTGCCTTGTGGAGTCTTAAGGTCATACAGATGTATAGCATAGAAACAGACTCTTCAGTCCAACTTGTCCATATGGTTTTGACAAGACTTCTCAATAATTATACTCCATTTTCTTGGAGCTCATGGCCAACACTCCATTTGTCTTCAGTGTTGTGAGCTGAACTTTATGTTAGCTTTCCTTGATTTGAATCCCAAATCCCACTGTGCGGTGGACTACCTTCAATGAAATAATATCCAGTGCCTCTATTGCTTCTCCCAAAGTGCATAACTCTTAAGTGTAGACTCCTCTCATCATCTTCACTACTTGCTTTCCAATTTATTTTTGTGTCATCTACAAACTTGGCAATAATACATTCATTTTCCTCATTCAAGGAATTAATATATATTGTAAATGATTGTGACCCTAGCAATGATCCCTGTGGCACTCCACTGGTTACAAGTTGTCATCCTGAAAATGCCTGCATATCCCAACTCTCTGTCTTCTATTAGTCAGGCAATCCTCTATGCATGCGAATATTCCATCCTCAACACCACAGGCACTTATCTTATTAAGCAGCCTAATGTGCAGTAGCACTTTATCAAAGAACGTTTGGAAAGTCAAATATATTGCATTCTCAAAGAATTCTAATAGCTCGTCCTTAAAGATTTCTAATAAATCTGACAGAAATGATTTCCCTTTCATGAAAGCCTTGCTCACTCTGCTTGATTATGTTATGTATTACAATTGCTTTGCTATTACATCCTTTATAATGGATTCTAGCAGTTTTCCAATGACGGATATTAAACTAATTGGCCCATAGTTAGTAATTTTTGTTTTGTCTCCTTCCCTTCTTGAATGTGTGTCACATTGGCAGTGATCCAATCCTGCAGGATTTTTCCAGAATCTAAGTATTCTTGGAAGATTCTTGAACATCGGGACTTGTGCATGCGCTCAGACTATGTTTACTAACTGGAATCTCAGCTCCAACACAAATCTCAAGTTCAACTTAGTGGAGGATGATGAGGCTTTTATGTATAAATCTTTAATGAGAACATTAGGATACAGTGTAATAGATAGTGACGTTATTGTGAAACATAAACATATTTTCATTTTCTGTAACCCTTATTTAGAACGTTGGAAACTATTGATGCTGAGTCCAGAAAAAGGGCATGCAAATGTTTTGCGTTACTAGTGAGGGACTTGATAATAAAGTGTCACCTAGTGGTCCATTCTGCAATTACACGTTGTAAACTCACTGGCTCTCATATTGCTTGAACATACAGCTCAGTGATCTGATCAGCAGTGGAACCTCTAAGAGAACACTACTCACTGCACGTCCAATTGTGTGGATACTTGAACAAGAAAGTCCATAGGAATATGCATGCAGTTCCTTACAGTAGCACATGTACAGATATACATGTTTATGCCTACGGTATTGCATTCAAAAGTAAAGGGACTTTCAAGAGAGATAATAAAACAAAAATGGAGTAGGATTGAAAAGGAGGTGAATATTGTAAATAGGTCTGAAAGGGTGAATACTTGAGTGCAATAAACAACACCATCTATGACGATGCCACAAGAATTTGGGCAGAATGACAAAGGAGCTGGCATGAGATGTTAGACAATAAGACCATAAGATATAGGAGCAGAATTAAGCCATTCGGCCCATCAAGACTTCTCTGTCATTCGATCATGGTTGATATGTTTCTCCTGCCTTCAACCCATAACCCTTGTTCCCCTCACTAATCAAGAACCTATCTATCTTTGTCTTAAATACACTCAATGACTTGGCTTCCACATCCCTTTGCAGCAATGAGTTCCGCAGAATAACCACCTTCTGGCTGAAGAAATTCCTCTTCATCTCAGTTTTAAAGTGTCATCCCTTCACTCTGAGGTTGTGCCCTTGAGTCCTAGTCTCTCCTACTAGTGGAAGCATCTTCGCCGTGCCCACTCTATCCAGGCCTCTCAGTATTCTGCAAGTTTCAATCAGATTCCCCCCTTGTCCTTCTAAACTCCATTGAATACATGAATCCTCAATCCCTCCTCATATGATGAGTCCAGGATAATTTCTTGCAAACCTCCTGTGGACATTCTCAATGCTTGCTCATCCTTCCTTAGATACGGGGCCCAAAACTGCTCTCAATATTTCAAATGTGGTCTGACCAGAGCCTTATACAGCCTTAGCAGTACATCTCTGCTCTTGTATTTCAATCCTCTTGAAATTAATGGTAATATTGCAATTGCCTTCCTAACTGCCGTGTGAACCTGCACATTAACTTTAAAAGAATCGTGAACTAGGACTTCCAAATTCCTTTGTGCTTCAGAGTTCTGAAGCCTTTCTCCATTTAGAAAATAGTCTATACCTCTATTCTTTCTAGCAAAGTGCTTCTGCACCCTCCCCGTTCCTCAACAGAACCTGATCCTCCCTCTATCTTTGTGTCATCTTCAAACTTAGCAACAATGCCCTTAATTCTTTCATCCAGATTTGTCGGGCATAACCTTTCCTTGGTAAAGTTGTGCTGACTCTGTCCTATTTTACTATGAACTTCCAAGTACTCCACAATCTCATCCTTAATAATGGACTCTAAAATCTTACCAATGACTGAGGACAGGCTAACCAGTCTAAAGCTTCCTGTCTCCTGCCTCCCTCCCTTCCTAAACAAGAGTGTTAAATTAACCATTTTCCAGTTTACTGGGACCCTCCCTGACTTCAGTAATTCCTTAAGGATCACCACAAAAGCCTCGAAAATCTCCTCAGCTGTCTCCTTCAGAACTCTAGGGCATTATCCATTGGTCCGGATGATTTATCCATCTTCAGTGCTTTCAGCTTCCCCACTACCTTCTCCTTAGTGATGGGCTACTACACTCACCTGTATTCCTGATGCTGTTGAAGTTCTGGTATGGCTGCTGTCTTCCACACTAATGCAAAGTACCTACTCAGTTCCTTCACCTTTCTTTGTTCCCCATTATTACTTCCCCAGTCTCATTTCCAGTGGTCCAATGTCCACTCCTACTTTTAGATATGTAAAAAAACTCACAATCTTCTTTAATATTACTAGCTAATTTACTCTCATATTTCATCTTTGCACATTCCCTCCAACCCCCTCCAATCCACATTGCTATTTAGTTATCCTTTAATGGTTTTTAAAGGCTTCCCAATCCTTCACCACATTGCATGCTTTTTCTTGTGCTTTTTTGCTGTCCCTGACTTCCCTTGTCAGCCATGGTTGCCTCATCCTCCCCTAAGTATGTTTCTTCTTCCTTGGGATGAATTTCTGCTGTGCCTCCTGAATTCCTCCTGCCATTGTCTTCCCTGCCTTCTGT